TTGCCGTGCCAGCGGTAGCGTATTCGAGTTCCGCTGGGGACATCATTAGTATGATGAGCACGAATGTTTGTACTCCAGTTATGGGTGTGAGTGTTAATGTACCAACATATTTATTTATTTTTAGTTTAATCAAGTTTCAAACTTGGACATCAAAAATATTTCTTCCTCAATTATCTCGTTGATTTCTGTCTGTACAATAATTAATTAAAAAAGCAAAAGTATTTTTGCTACGATAACAATAATAAAGGTTCAAAATAAACCAAATTAATATTATAATGACTTGATACAAAAAACTTAAATCATATCGTAATTGCCTAAGTGGTTTCATTCATGGATAGTTTTTACTATTTTTTTTTGCTGAAAACTGTTGAGAAATTAATACATTTAAAATATTAAAAGTACAATTTTTGTTCTCTGATTAATTGATAGATTGTTTAATTATAATGTTCAATGCTTATATTTAATATTTGGATAATATTTGTACAGTGCTACTTTTAACAACTTTAAGTCAGATTTGATTTCTTTTTACTTAAATACTAGCGACTCACCCTCGTTTCGCACGGGTTCGTCTCTAGGTTGATTAATAATAATAATTATTATAAATATGTTGGGACATTAACACATAGCGCCATCTAGTTCCATGGTAAGCTACGAGGCTTGAGTTATGGATACCAGATAGTTGATACACTACACATACATAACTTTAAATACATATATATATATATATATATATATATATATATATATATATATATATATTGACTAAACAAGCTTTCATTTTCACCCTCTTAATGGATGATTTACGGAATATAAACTATCCTATATCCTTCCTGTCTTACTAAATTTCATCTAAATCAATTCAATAGTTTAGCCTATTCGATACAAAGAAACAAATAAAAATACAAATTTTGCTCTTTATAATATTTACTTAAATACAAAGCTGCAATGTTTGTTTGTTTTTAGTTTGTTTGAATGTGCTAATCTCTGGTGCTAGTGAACTAATCTAATCACTCTGGCCAATCGCTGCTGGGTGAGCGGACTTGACATGTCGTTCGAAAACATGCTAGATTCTCTCAGACATGCAGGTTTCCTCACGATATTTTCTGTCACCGTAAGACACTATATAATAATGAGTATTAAATTAAGAACACTATATTATTTAAAACTGAACGAAAGCATGACAATGACATTTATTATAGTATCTGTCGTAACCTTTATAAATTAAAAACTTAGTTAAATGAGTTTTAAGCACTTAACTTTAAAATTGCTTTTTATATAATTACTTTACTAGATAAAAAGTTAAAAGCTTTTATGTAGATCCGTTATTGTTAAAATTCATAATATGTATTATACTCGTAGCTTTTATTATTAACTAGCGACTCACCCTCGCTCCTCTCGGGTTTGGCCCTAGTTACGTTTTAACGTTTAGCTCAGAGATGAGATATTTTACCGCAGTAAAAGTATCCTATATATTAACCCGGATAACCAGCTATTATCATACCAAATTTCATCAAAATCAGTCTAGACAGACAGACAAAAATTTTAAAAACAATAGATTCGACATCTGTATTGATAATAATGTCTATTTTAATAAGATTTTCCAAAAAAATATTTAATGTATAGATTCGGCTAGTTTAATACTAATCACATAAGCATTCACAGACATAAGTATTTCAGTATTATTTATAGCTTGCTTCCCAATACAAAATTTCATACCCATTTTCATTTCCTTGAGTGGTGATTTCCGGGATAAAAAGTATTTAATGTGCTTCCCAGGGTCTCAAAATATCTTCTTACCAAATTTCATCTAAATCGGTTCAGTATATCTAGAGATTATCCTCACCCTACAACGTCACAACCTCACAATCTCACAAACTCGCAAACTTTACCTCTTTATAATATTAGTATAGATTAGCGGCTTCGTCGTTCGTCCTAAAGGATGGATGGTATAGGAATGCATAGAAGACAAACAAACAAAGAATAATACTTTTTTTACATTTGCAGGCGTACTCAGAACAACTCAGTAAAGTTTCATCACAATCGGATGAATAATTTATGTGCCTATAGAGTACAAATATAAAAAGTTATATTCATTTTTATTTATGTCCATTACAGAATAATATGTAATTTTATAAAAGTAATAAAACTTATGTGCACTAAATCCGGTCCCATAAGCTTAGTACAGTACTTATGTATTACAATTGACATCGTTATACGGATTAAAGCAAGAGTCGTAAATTTTGATTTCCTTTTACATACGCGTCATTTTGCTTTATATTGACTAGCAATATTTATATATAAATTTTATGTATGTAGGATTTTTTTTACTCATATATTATTAACGTAATATTTATGCTCTAACTTTGACGACACGTTTGGCTCAGTTTATAGTGACCCAGTATACTTGCTGTACCAGCAGTCGCGGGTTTGAGTCCGTTGAGGGTATTCATTTGTGTGATGATCACGAATGCTTGTACTCCAGGCATAGGTGTGTGGTTTATATTTATAGTATGTATTTAAAGTGATATATGCGTAGTGTATCATCTACCTGGTATCCATAACACAGGCCTCGTAGCTTACCATGGAACTAGATGGTGCTGTGTGTTAATGTCCCAACATATTACTTTATGTTATTTATATTGTATGCTTCAAAGGACATTAAAACACTAATGTTGTGTCGAAATTATTACCGACCATAATCATTACTTAAAATTTGAAGAAAATATATTTGAATAGAATTTCAAATATATTTTCTGTATAAAAATGACTGTTTCTAAATTTTTTTATTAATAACACTAAAACTCGTCAATAACTACTAAACAAAAAAAATCGGTTGACTATCAGAAGAGAAAAAGGCACTGAACTGTTTTTGTCTTTGCCTATTTATATATAGAGATACTATATTATATTTGTAGAGATATTAATGTATATATAGAGATATTTATATATAGAAAAACAAAACCAAATCTATCCCTTGGGAACCACATATTTTTTCCGGGATAAAAAGTAGCCTATGTGTTATTTCAAACTATAATCTATCACTGTGCCAAATTTAATCCAGATCCGTTCTGCCGTTCTGGCCTGAAAGAGTAACAAACATCCATACATACTCACAAACTTTTACGTTTATAATATTTATACAGATTATACAGATGTATATCCTTTACTTTATTTAGGAAAAAGGTGCATTTTATATTACATATTGGTATTTAAAAGTTAAATATTCTATTGCTTATTTTTTTTTAATTTTAATGTCATTAATATATAGACAGGATTAAAATATAAATCAGATTTTGTTCTCGAATTTATTTATAATATGATAATACCCTTGAGGTATTATATCTAATGTAAAAAAAATTAAAACGGTGATTTTTTACAATTTGAAATTATTTCAAATATTGACACCTAGCGCCTTTCAAAATTATAATAGCAATAACTTTTTCCTTCGCAGGAGAGTAGGTTTCATGATGAAAGGTCGCTTTTATTGTTTATATATCAGATTATTTACAAAATTTAGACAACCAATAATGACACAAACTGCAACTGGCAACGCCGCGCCGGCTCAGCGAATCTGATATCATTGCGCACAATTGTATTATGAAAGAAATACGTTCTTACACAATCTTGCTACTTATGTTTGAAAATAGTAAAAGTCTGTAAATTTTACAGCTCACTTTTGAATGATGAATAATAATTATCTCTTTACAAAAAGTAATGATATCCCATCAAAAACATAAATGTTAACATGGAAGCCAAGTTCAATATTAAGAATATGCGTGGTTGTCGACTTCGCCGAAAAAAGAATTGAGATGTAAATGGGTTTCAAGTTCTGTAGATAATCCTGAAATTTATTTATAAGGACATACAACATTCTAAAATAAATTTAAAATACAATTTCTTATTCTTTTCTGCCACCACTATGTTTGCTACATATTTATAAATAAAACTTTTTGAATTTAAACAATTGAATTATTATCTACAGAAATTGGTAACCATTTAGATCTCAATTCTTTTGAAGACGAAGTTGACAACCACGCATGTTCTTAATATTGAACTTGACTTCCATTCTCACATTTATGTTTTTGATGGGATGCCGTTTACAGTAATTTTAATAAAATTTTCGACAGACTTTTAACAAAAGATACGTTACTCAATTTGAGTGTATTTCATATCATCTTCACAGTAAATGATTTTTTTAATTACTATTCATTAAAAATAGATAAAAAGTATACCTATTTGATTTAATCATAAAAAGTATTCAATTGTAATGTTGTCGCCTAATTTATTTTTATATTTTTTTTGACTATATCATAAGAATACTATAAAGAAAATGCATCAGATATTTGAAAAAAGAAATAGATATCAATGTTCTTTAAAATTTGCGAGAAGAATATAAGCTTAAAAGAACAGTTAGATATTTAAGCATTCTTCACGGAAATAAAAACCGAATCTATAATCGTAAAATAAAATTTACTATCTATATCTAATTTATAATATTTCAAATATTTTACTATATATTATGTAGTTATATAGTAACATACTAAGCTATATTTAATGAAACTTTACTCTTCATTACCTTAAAACTATGTACGTGACTCATATATCACATCACGTAGATACATCATACCAAAAAACCATATAACGATTGCAAAATTGTACTAACTAATTCATAATTTGTACTAATGCTATTCTATTCACGAACTTACAATTACTAGCACGATCATAATATAAGGCCTAACACCCATAGCTTTCGTTATTAAATCGAGTACTTATTGAAATTAATTAATATCCTTGAAATAGTGTTTGACAGACGAGGTCGGTTGAGGAAAAAAATCAGCTAATTATTCGTCCTATCATATGGTTTTATTATCTTTATTACGTCAGACCACAAGCGATCTTCAGGATTAAGATCTGGTCTCATATATATTAGATCAGTTCGCCTCTAAGAAGCACAGTTCACTGTGAGCTTCACATTTGATAGTACCTCCACCAACCTAAAAATGAAATTGGTAAAACATATTTCTTTAGCATTATGTTTAAAAAAAAACTTGTTTTACTTATTAGAATGTAATAAGTATTGTGTTTATACTTTTTTAGATTTACAGGAATATTTGAAATTTTAAATAAAACTATTTTTTGGGAGAGTCTCTCCCGAGACCATGATTGCTGTAAAGTATTCGAAACGTCAATAACCAAAAATTAAAATAAGTCCACGAAAAAATACGGAAAGATAGTTTTATTTAAGAATATTGTGTTTCAATCTTGTGCTTAGTGATAATAATAAATGCTTATTTTTTTCAGTTCCTTGTAGCTGCTTTGATCGCTGTCGCTTCTGCTGGTCGTCTTGAACACCTTGAGCGTTCATACCTTCCACCCGACAACAATGCCCAGGGAAATTTCAATGGTGCTAGTTCAACAAGCTTCGGAGCCAATGGAGGTTTTGACTCTGGAAGCTCTGGCTTAAATACCTATAGCTCTTTTGGATCCAAAGGCCTAGGATCTACCGGTTTTGGTGCCAATGGCCATAGTTCCAACGACCATGGTTCAAATGGACTGGGTTCCTCTGGTTTTGGTGCCAATGGACATAGTTCCAATGGTTTCGGTGCTAATGGACACAGTTCAAATGGTTTCGGTGCCAATGGACACAGTTCTAATGGTTTCGGTGCCAATAGACACAGTTCTAATGGTTTTGGATCTAGCGGACTTAACGCCAATGGTTTTGGAGCTAATAGCCAAAGCTCCAATGGATTTCTTGTAAAGAGCCAGGGTTCCAACGGATTTGGTGCCAACAGCCAGGGTGCTCATGGAAACGGTGCCAATGGTCACAGCTCTTTAGGGCTCAGTTCTTCTCAAGGTTCAAATGGATTGGGCAGCTCAAGTGGCCTCACCAACCAATACTTGCCACCTTTCCAAGGATCTCCTGCTGGTTCTAATAGCTACGCTGGACATTTTCCCAGCCAATGTACGTATACATTAATTACTTTAACCTAAAATAAAACAATCGTAACAAGGCCAATTAAATTATTTTTTTAAACTTTTTCCGTAAAAAATACATTACACTAATACTAAGTGTATAATTGTCTAGAACGGTACCATTTACTTGATTTTATAGTGATAATTTTAAAAATAATTTAAAATAAGTTATAGTTTTACAAGTACATATTTTGGTCGGTGTCACTTAAACTCTCAATTTTACGCGCCTGCGTATACGGCTATTTTAGAAAGCGTAGATGAAACAGGAGCAAACTATATTTGGTAGATACATATCTACAAGTGTAGCTTAAATTGAAACATTATTTAAAGTAAAAAAAGAAATAGTTTCGCCATGACTTGCTTCTTGTGTCAAGTCTAGATTATGAGATAAGTAATTTACAGATATATTTTTTACAGCTGGAGTTAGCCAACAATATAACAAGGGGTCTCAGGCCTCCGTACCCAGCACCAACTACGGCGTCCCTGTGAGTGGTCCATCCTCTTTCGGATCTAGTCCATCAAACTTCGGTTCATCGTCTTTCGGACAGCAAGGATCACACTTTGGCCAGTCCGGTGCTGCCAGCCGTCAATACCTGACTCCTAAATTTTCTTCTTCCAACCAAAATATTCCTCAACAGCCTTTCGATGAAGAAACTGGCTACCATTATTAATACCAGTAAAAAACGAGGAAAGTTACTCCAATTGTGAATGTGTTCATATAAAATAAATGATATAATTGTATATTGCCATTTTTTTCTTTTTAAACCCAGTTATGATGAGAAAAAATATTTTAATTTATCGTAAATGTATTAGCAAATCCAAAATAGAAAATTTTATGTAATTATTTTTTTCTGGAAGACCATCACAATTCTCTTGTATTTAAAATAACTTTAATTCCCAAACAAAACAACTATGTTGCTGCCTGCTGACGAAAGACTTTCCAAAAATATTACTTAAAAAACAAAATACATACTTAGCTTATAACTTTTGTTATTAGCTTACCAAAAACCCCCAATAGCCATCAATAGTATATTCATTCAAATTAGATTTTGTTTGTTTTATTTAAAAATATTTAAGGAAGTTTTTAAAAACGTCCAATTAAAGTTAATACAAGGAGGTTTCTAACGACTTTTGATTTACAAAATTTTAATTGGTATAGATTTACAATACATATATACAAAATAAATTGATATTATACAAAAATTGATTTGTTTTGTATACTCAACTAGCGACTCACCCTCGCTTCGCTCGGGTTCGTTCCTAAGTTGCTTCCCCATACAAATTTTTAAACCCCACTTTCACCTCCTTAAGGGATGATTTCCGGGATGAAACTATCCTATGTCCTTCCCAGGGTCTCAAACTACATATTTTCTTACCAAATTTCATCTAAATCGGTTCAGCAGTTTCGGTGCCCATTTAATACAAACAAGCAAACAAAAAAAAAATTTTTCCTCTTTACAATATTGGAATATATAAATATTAGTTTTAGGGCCAGTTATAATAGTTATTCAATTTTTTCCTCTTGATTACGATTTACTCGCATTAATTTTTATGTTTTAAATATTTCATCTACGCCTTAACTAATTGTAGTTTCAAAGAGTTTTTATATCATAAGCGGTTTTTTTTTCGTAAATAAGAACTTTCAAAATTAAAATTAATTATTAAAACAAATGGCATGAGATATTATTACCAAATACTGTCAAATATACGTATCACTAACGGTAACGTGTATACTGTATATATAAAATATGAATGTACCATGAAATTCGGCTACTACGGCATTAATTGCTGTATTTCTTTATAACTCACTTGGTACCGTTACCAAAAAAAATTGTGGGTGATGTACCTACATTGGTACCTATATTGGTACCTACTTTTAAACTACTTTTAATCTGAATTGATTTTGGGCATATTATTCCTTTCGCATACGTTAGGCATTCTTATTTTGTCAGATTAGTCGATTAGCTAAGAGAAAGGATAATCAAATATACCTAGGAATCGAAACTCTCATATTTATCACACTACTATGTATGCGTTAATTATTCACATTGGGATGGATCGACAGATTTGGATAAAATTTTGTATATACACAGATCATATAATACTATACTACAGTACATAAATATATTATGACCTAGAGTAACACATAACCTACTGTTAAGGTACCTTTTTTTAATATTGGGAAATGCATTTACGCGCAATACCTATATACATAAATACGTGGTTATGTGGGACTCCCCGGCTAGAAAAATCAGATACCCAATAAAACCTCCCCCATCTTAATGGGGTGTTGCAGGGTCACTTACGCACTCAACCACGACATTCCGACGGCAGGTTTACCGAAGCAGACCACAACAGCCATGGGGATGCTGCAACGCTCCATTCTGCTGTCAGAAAAATACCAGGAGCAACCCGCATGACACACTATCACCGAGGTCGGCTGCCTCCCGGTGCGTTTCTTGGTTACTGTAAACTACCTAAAGGTAAGTCGCTAAAAGATGAATTTCTCCGAGAAAACCGGATGTAAAATTACTTTATATTACTATCCGCCCGAACAAGAATTTGCACCAAAGTGTTTTTATCACATCAATAATAAAACCAAATATTAACAAGAAATAAAAATGACTTCATTTCTACTAATGAACTAAATTGTACCTTTGTTTTTTTATCATCATATATTATAATATACAAACGATAACGAAGCTTTACATCATCTTCTCGTCAAAATTAGCCATGACCATTAAGATTTTGCTACGGCTCATTGTTTGAAAACTGGTTTAATTTTGCATTGAGGAAGACTAAAGCACCTGTTACTGATTATTTTACGATTTTTTACACATTTTTTTGTATTATTTTAACTACTTAAAAGCTTTTCTCTTATTTTATACAAATTGATATGAAAAAATTAATGATTGATTACTTATCGATCTGTGTTTAGTTCTACGATGTAACAAACTATTTTATGCACTTGGCTCCGCTCGCGTAGTTTCTTTATATAAGTACTATTGTTGTGCTTTTAAGGGTGAAGGGTTGACATTATACTTTATAAGCAGGCAGAAAATATTTACAATACTACTGTACGTTTGTATGTCACTGAGCTTCTCATAATAGACTGGACCGATTTTGATGAAATTTTTGAGCGTATTTGAATTGGTGGCTTAGATACAGAACTGAACCCGGTGGTGGCGCTGCAGTCGGGTTCTAGAATTTCTTTTTATTACTAGCAGACCCGACCGACGTTGGCCTGTTTGAACTTATAAATAATTCTTTTGTACATGTACATGTCACTGAACATCTCCTAATCAGCTGGACCGATTTTGATGAAATTGTTTGCCTCATAGTATTTGTTTTATTGTCAAAATCAATTATGTCACCCAAATGAAAAGCCAATGATCGATTTGGGCAACGTCTGTCGAGTCCGCTAGTATGTTATATAAATTTATAACTCCTGGTGGATCTTTAGATCAAATAAATTGATATGGAACTTTGCTTTATAAAATTTGACTATATTGTTTCAGGCTAAGCCGCCTAACCTTTTTTTGTCTTCAGTGCATCATAATGCAGATCGTCCTACTCTTTATTTGTCTAAGCGCAGTTTTATGTCTAATACATGTCGGATCCATCGGATTATGTTGTCTTTCATTTTAGAGTGCTAATTCTGCACGCGATGTCGGTGATTTTAGTTCTCCAGCAAAAATCTACGTTTTTATCTTATAGAAAGTACATACATATATGCTATTTTTAACAAACTTTCTTTCCCTAACCACTAGGGTCAATAAATTGTCAAAATCGTTCCTTACTAAAAAATGTGTCCTTATTCTATTTGTACTTCGTTGATCCGCATGATTGTGGTTGTGATGTGATCATTCTGCTGAGAGATCTTAATTTAAATAGTTAATGTTTCATATAATTAAATCCTTTGTTTGAGAAGAAACCAATGAAATATTTATATACTAGCAGTACCCGCGGCTTCGCTCGCGCTAAAACTACAAAAAAACTCTGAAAAGGTAGATTAGGTTAGATTAACAACTTTCATCCCCTATTTTACCTCCTTATGGGATAAATTTTGAAAAATGCTGAAATACGTATCTATTTCATTGTATTTAATAGCATTAATGCCAAGTTCCAAGTAATTCTGATCATAAATATTTTTTTGGGTTGTATAATGCACGTCATTATATATTTTCCGTGGGAGTGAGATAATCTCCCGCAAAAAAAGTAACCTATGTTAGTCTCAAGCTCTCCAACTATCTTTGTACAAAAAATCACGCCAATCTGTCACTCTGTTTCGACGTGAAAGATGGACAAACAAACAAACAAACAAACAAACAAACAAACAAACAAACAAACAAACAAACAAACAAACAAACACACTTTCACATTTATAATATTAGTATGGATATGGATTTAATAAACCTATATAAGTAAGTTATATAAATAAGTCTTTAAGAATTTATATGTTGTGTTAGTAAAATTTATACATAAATATGAATTAATATTATCTTTTTTCTGTTGCTTTGTAACAGAATGACAGTTAACAAACAAAATGTTTCATGTGTGTGTTTTATTAGTTATCTGTTTGAGAACCGCTGGACCAATTTAGTTGATTTTGTTTTTAAAATGTTCGTGATAATTCGAATAGGGTTAAAAATAAATTGGAAAAGTTTGTAGTTTGAATTTTAATGTTTTTACGAAAGTGATTTTGGAGGATTTACAAAAATTGTATGCAAAAAATTCTATATTTTGTATGTATGACATCAAAAATCACAAATTTTACTGAAATTGGGATTAGACAATATTAGTTAAATCTGAACTAGAGTTCGCCTAGTGATTGACCATTACTATCATTAAGAGGAAAGCTAAATAAAACCTATTTATGAATGCAGTATAATATAAAAAAAACTGTTTCTTAATCTAAAAGCTCCTAAACAAAAAAAAAAGAGAATCGGTTGACAAACAGAGAAGAAAAAGATACTGACCTGTTTTTTATATTCTTTACCTATTTATATACAGGTAGATATTATCAAAACATGCGATTGTTAAAATTCTAAAGGTCCAATTCCCTCAGTCACGCGAAACTAACAAACGGGACTATCACACGGTACTCGTATGCGACATTCACCTCACCTTGATATCGTTACGTACGTGATCTTCGCATATATAACGACATTTCTCAACAACCATGTACTTGTTATGAACTGTGACTTTACTTGTATTTTTATAACTACAAAAAGATGTTATATATTAGATATATTTCATTCTTTCAATTTATAAGCAACTATCTAAGTTTTTAATATATAATACAAATTATGACTTGTAATCTATTCCTGTATAAACCAACAAAATGAAAGACTAATTTTAATATGCTTTTGATTCACATTTATAATATTTACTAAAACACCTAACCTAATAACGAACCCGAGCGAAGCGAGGGTGAGTCGCTAGTGAAAGTATGTATATAGGTACGGTACTTATAAGAAACAAAAAAAATTGTCTGTCTAACTGTCAGTCTGTCTGTCTGTCTGTTTGTTTCGGCTAATATCTGAATTGGCTAAACGAATTCTGACGGGGCTTTCATTAGAAAATAGTTCTTGTTATAAGGAGTAACTTAGCCTACATTTATTTTAGGAAAAGAATTAGAGCTAAGCACAAAAATATTAAAATCCATGAAATTGTAAGCAAATGAAAAAAAAGGGAAAATAAATATGTAGTATGGAATAATTTTAATCATTAGTCGTCAATTATTACTGATGTAACGTAACTTGGAGATAAGCCCCAATATATAGCGTTGATTAGAAACTTATAGATTTGAATAACTGGGCATATTAAAATAAAACTTGTTTAAGTTAGCTTTCAAGCTAAAAATATTAATCAATAAAATTCACCTAGCTTATATGTAAACTAGCCGACAGCCAGACAAAAGCTTTTTATACTGTTAATTTCTTTTAATTGTTGACTACGTATCTTAAATGTATCTATACATATTATAAAATTCTAACTGAGTCGAATCTTTACATTAAATGGTTTTGGAAAATATTATTAAATTGGTCATTATTATCGATACAGTGGCCAAATCTATAGTTTTTAGAATTTTTGTCTGTCTGTCTGGAAACGCAACACGTGAAAACCCCTGGACAAATTTTGATGAAATTTGGTATGATGATAGCTGGTAATCTGGGACAACATATAAGATACATTTTACTGCGGGAAAATATCTTATCTCTGAGAATTCTATATAGAACCTTTTAACGCAACTAGCTATGAGCGGAACGAGGGTGAGTCGCTAGTAAGAGATATGCTTAAATGTAAGAATATTTAGTTATCAGAGGAAATATATGCTTAAAATATTTAAGGTACTAATTATTATTATTATTTGTTAGGAGAAAAATCTTGTTTACGTTCAGTATTTGATAACGTGTAATATTTTTAAAGGCCTTTTCTTGGTTACGACATTTTAATATATTTTGTAAGAACACTAAACAATTACACACAACAATAACTATAAACATTGGTCATAAAATAAAGTAAAATATTAAAATAACGACTTACACTTGCTCGGGTGCGTCTCTAAACTTGAATGACTTAGAAACACATAAAAGGCAAACGTACAAAGAATTTTTTTTTGCCTTTGCAGGCGTATACAGAATAATACGCCAGAATTTCAGAACAATCAGATTAGTGGTCTAGGAACACATAGAGGACAAACATACGAACTCCGCCAAACCGCACTTGACCAGCGTGGTGGACTGCGATGACCTCCTGATTGTACTGAAGAGAGGCCCGTGGCCAACAGTGGGACATTAAAAAGAGCTAAATACATACATATTAAAACTAAATAAGTACACTACGCCCACTGAGATAGGGAGATTCGTAAAGGATTTATGAAAAAATTAAATCTTGTTAAAGTAAGTAATTCAGAAAATCTAAATATGTCAAAAAATATTAATCAAAGTGTTACTAATTACTTTCTTATTATTTACCTTATTTTTTATTTTATATTTGGAATAATAATAAAAAAATCTTAATAACAAATTATTGAAGCAAATTTTTGTTGAAAGTTTTCGCACCTTCAAACTCAAGGCTTACAGCGACATCGCTATTAACAGTCTCTTAATTATATCATTACATATTTTTGTTCCATATAAAAACGCATCCCAATTTCAAGACGACACAGTTCGATTACACTCATTGAATTAACAATACAATAAAAAATTCTAATCAAAATGAATACTTTGGTAAGTTAACTACTGTTACATTTTATTTTTAAAGCATATATCTTCTAAAGCTATAATCATATTCATATTAGAGCTTATTATATATTTTCGAATATTACCTTTAAATAAAATAATTAAAATTTGTCTAGCCGTTTCTATTTGCAAAGATATTAGACAAACAACTAATATTTAGAACACTTTCTCTGGATGTTAATTCCAAAAGAATCCCAAAAAATATTTCAAAAAATAACTAATGTAAAACCTTCATCTTAATTTTCTATTCTAGATTCTTGTATCTACACTCTTAGTTTTTACATCAGCAGCACAACTTCCTTCAGCTACTTATCTACCTCAAGGAGGACCAGGGTCACAGATAAGTAGGCCTCAGGGGAGTGGCAATCTCGGTGCTAAACCACCTTCCAACACGTACGCTCCACAAGGCTCAGGATCATCAGGAGCAGGAGATGTCAACACACGACCTCAACAAGAAGTGGAAAAGAATGCAGCTATTCTAAAATTGGACCAAGCTATTGAAGAAAATAGTATGTTCATTGTTTATATTTGAATATTTCCTTTTATTTAAAACCTCGTTGTATAACATTTAAAAGGGAATAAGAACAAAAAAGCATTTTCGCTTTTTATCTCTACTAATATAATAAAGAGGTAAAGTTTGTGAATTGTGAGTTTGTGACGTTGTATGGGGTAATCTCTGGATCTACTGAACCGATTTAGATGAAATTTGGTAATAAGATAGTTTGGGATACCCTGGGAAGGACATAGGATACTTTTTATCGAAAGTTTGTATGGTGAATAAACCACATACATAAATAATTGAGTATTACTTCTAAACTCCAGGCTTCCATTACTCCTACGAAACCTCCAATGGAATCCAAGGAGAAGAATCAGGCGATGTAACTCAAACGCGTGGAGGATTTGCATACAAAGGTGATGATGGCAAGATTTACTCCGTGACCTTCACTGCTGGTGAAGACGGCTACAGGCCCCAGGGTGATCACCTCCCGGTTCCACCTCCGACTCCTGATGAAATCCTCTTGGCTTTGAAACAGAATGAACGTGATGAAGCTGCTGGTATCTTCGATGACGGTAAGTTTATTAACATTTAGAATAAAAATATTTATATACATTATACAATCTATTTAAAAATATTAAGTGACTTTTTTATGAGTAAAATGTTTTGATTATAGCGTATGAAGACTTTATTTTTAAATGACTTAAAAAAAAAATAAGATTAGTTTCTATTCTGAAGAAATATAACATGAAGATATTATACTTCACCAAAATAGAAACGTATTCTGTTCAAGAACAAATCTCCGTGTCATAAAATAGTACTACTAAAATAAAAGTTTAATAGTAATCCTGATCACATAATGTATATATATATATATATATATATATATATATATATATATATAATAAGTCATTCTATTATCAACCTCTTTTATAAGAGCATCTTCATCAATCCCATTTGTCTAAGCCGGAATCGAACCTGACATCAGCTATTATACTTTAATGCTTTATGATATTTTGTATCAATCATAATTTATATTTCATATTTCAACAGGTAAATATCACCCAGAAAATGATAACCAAGGCAAGCCAGGATCAGGCAGTTTCGGTTCCACCAATCATCAAGGCAGCTATGATGCTAACTCTGGATACTCTTATTAACTGTACATAGTTTTTATACTTAATCGTATAATTAATCTATACATTTTTTGTACATGTCAAATGTTTATAATTTTTTCTTGCAAATAAAAATATATTTTTATAGATTATCTTTTCTTCTATGTCACCGTTATAAAAGGTTTAGTAAATAAGTAAATAAAATTCAAATATGTTAATATTCTATCTTTCAATATATAAAAAATGGATGAAAACCGACTATTAAGTAAAGTATATAAATTAATATTTTTCCATCCAAATTTACTAAAACCTTGATATTTGCGCTCTACAATAATGAAACATACGTACATACATACATACATACATATGTATATATAGCTTTTTCAAAATTAAAAGAGTACTCGATGAGAGGTCCATGCTGGTCACCAATATTTTTACAATCGCAAAAATAGAAATGATTTCATTTTAAACAGTTTTTTAAAAATCTCAATTCAATGTCATTGTTAATGACTTTAAAGCGTGTAAGTTGAGCACATATTACTTCGCCAATGTCACGCAAAATGGGAAAGACACAAAGGAGATTGGTTTTAACAATCTTATTTATATGAAGAGGTCATTTATATAAGGAGTAACAAACATCCATCCATCCTCACAAACTTTCACATATGTAATACTAGCGGTTTACCCTCGTTTCGCTCGAGTTCGTCGCTAGGAAAACAAAAACAAATCTATCCCTCGGGAACCGTCTGTTTTCCGGGATAAAAAAGCCTATATGTTATTCTAAACTATATAATCTATCTCTGTGCCAAGTTTCATCCAGATCAGTTTAGCCGTTCTGGTGGGAAAGAGTAACAAACATCTATACATACACACAAACTTTCACATTTATAACATTATACAGATTAGAATGGGTGGACACTGGATAGGTCTGATAAAAAATGCAGAGATATGCAATCTTACTAATATTATAAATTTGAAAGTTTAGATGGACGTTTGGATGTTTGTTATTCAATCACACCAAAACGGCTGAACGGATCTAAATGAAAACAACGTGATAGATTATAGTCCGGAATAGCACAAAGGCTATTGTATATCCCGGAAAGATGTACAGTTTCCATGGAATAGACTTGATTTTGTTTTTCCAGAGGCAAACCCAAGCGAAGCAAGGGTGAGCTGCTAGTAAAATGAATAAATAAGTATTAAGCTTATCGATAATATTGAAGATATTCTGAAAATAGAAAAAAATAAGAGGGAGTTCTTCCCAACTAAGGAAAGAATTTAAACAGGCTATAAAACACTGTGTACATATCAAAAATTCATTTTATTCATAGAATAAATAATCTATGTCCATTCACTGGATCAGTAAAACTAAATACGGAATTATTATCACATTTACATGTTGTATTGAAGTAAGCTAGTCGTATCTCATAAAACTCTGTTTACATAAAGAATTATTTAAAGTAGAATAAAAGAAGAAACTAACTATATTAGAAGGAAATAGTTAAAAAAATAGATTTGTATATGAAATGATAATAAAATAGCCTCTTAGTCGAATTAATATATCTAAATGTAAACGGGGTTTAGCGATACGGCTTAGAATTTGTAGGGTTGACGGAAGTTAGCTGTGGCTTGAGCACGAGCGTAGTTCTGTTGAGGGGTATACGCAGCACCAGTACCATATTTGCCGGGGTTGTATGAACCTGGAATTTAAATAATAATAATTAATAAGTATAAGAAAAAAGAAAAATAATAAAAAAATATCGTAATTTAGATACATTATCTTTCTTATAAATTATTTTTTCATTACTTGGGTTTGACAGATAATTTGATAAAGAATTAGAATGATTTGTAGTTATATGAAAAAACCCATCTAGTTCCATGTTAATCGACGAGGCCTGTGTTATGGATACTAGATAGTTGATCCACTACACATACCTATATAACCTTAAATACATACATATTATAAATATAAACACCCATGACTGGAGTACAAACATTTGTTCGTGCTCATCACACAAATAAATGCTCCCAGTGGGACTCGAACCCGCGACCGCTGGCGCAGCAAGTAGGTGAACTACAAACTGAGCCAAACGTGTCGCCGAACGTATTAGTACAATACTTTAAAATAAACATGAAATGTTTGACTCAACATTTTTATCTCTAACAATATCATGTCCAAACAAAAAGAATAAACAAATACAATACAAAAACAAATTTCACACTAAGCGTTGAACATAATAATTGTACAATTCACGCCATTGTATTCAAAATTCTCTCAAGAATATTTATAAATGCGAAGCTCTCAAGAATATTTATAAACTTTGATATTATCCATATTTTTTTATCATATGCATTTTCTAACTAAATTACTTTTGGCCAAAGTGTGTTGGGTTATGATCTTCAATTTGCTTCTAAAGCAAAATTTTAGTATTTAGTTCCTCGAATTTGAATTCATGTCCCTTTGCATCATAAGCAAATAATGCTGACAGTTTTACTGAGTCTCAGTGACACGTTAACAGGGTAAATATTTTGGTATACTCGTAAATGCACTCTATCCCTATATACTTATGGTTAAATAAGAGTGTAATCCAAGCCATATGCATAATGATAGTATTGATAAATACTTATAAAAACAATTAGAATTAATATAAAATAAATAAGATGAAACGTATAGTTCAAATATTTCCCAGAGATTCTTGAGTAAAGCAGATAAGGTCATATGTTACGCCCAAAGCCTATGTAGGTTGCAGTCATCCATTCATTCTATTGGAATGTCCATTTCTCTAAGCAAATAAACTCTAAGATATATAAGTATTATTTTAGCGATTTAAACCTAAAATTGATTTAGCTTTTTTGCAAAATTCATTAATTGCTATTCAAAAATGTAAGAAGTAACAAAAGTAAAAAATATTTACGCGAATATTTGACATCTATTGTATGTATATGTCGTAGGATAATTTGATGATTAGAATTTTTGTGAAAACGCTAGAGACATTGCGAAAATACGGATAGTTAGACAATGGTTAGGTAAGTTTTATTTTTTGATAATGTGACAGTTCCGACTTGGATAACGTAGGCTGAGAAGGCTAAGAAGAAAAGGCTAAGGCCGGAGCTACATCTTACTCAGAACAACCCTTTCTTTCTATGTAGGTTAGGTTAGAACATGTTTTTACAAAAACCCTATCTTTTTCCAGTAAGATTGAGAATTTTTTACCATTGTCTAATTATGCGCGTTTCCACGATATCCCTAGGTATTTTGCGAAAATTCGACTAATCAAATCATCCTACGACATATACAAAACGAAGTCGGGTTAGTTACACCATTTATAACTGAAGAAAGACTAGATCGATTTCTATGATCTTTGATTTGTTGTATTTGTCTCCGCCATGAATAACTATTAAAACAAACACACATTTTTTTTGTTAATGCTGGCTAATAACTATTTATATGTATTTAAAACGTATCTAAGGATGAACCCGAGCGAAGCAAGTGTGAGTCGCTAGTTTTTAATAAAATTGTCTTTTCAGATTTTTTGCGAATTTATTTTAATTTTTGGTTCCCGACATCTCTAATGCTTTACAGCAATCATGATCATTGAAAAGACTAAAGTTTTTATACAGATAATTACAGACAATCATTACATTATAAGTAAATTCTCGAAAAAATCCGAAAATATAGTTTAGTTAAAAAACTAGTCAAATTTAGAACATTTTCTATTGGAATTGTTATTAAATATATCTGGATACCATTTAAGTATATTTTTATTTATAAAATAGACTTCAGAACGTCTATTAAATAAATAAATTAAAAAAATATTATATGCACCTAACATAATCATAACTTCTTTTGTAAAGTAGGTCGAGTGTACATTTACTACACATTGTTCAAAGTTCATAACTAAGTGTAATAGCAAATATGACTCAAGAAGCAATCTTAATAATTACATACTGAATAAAACCTGAATTTGAAAGAATGTTTGTGCGATCATTCAACAAACGCCTAATATTTTATTAAAGTCAGTGTGAAGCATCTGAGAGCTTTGACTCCAATCTAATCTGTCTCTTTCTCAATATCTTTTTCATTTTGAGCTAATATTTAACATACACATTGTTTCATACAATTACTCAGAAATACTTAACTTATTTTTTGATTTTTACAAATTCAAATTATTTTAATCAATATAGATAACATAAGTGATGCTTTTAAATTAAAATTTTGAAATAGGAATCTTGTTTATTTCTTTGAATATATAATTTTCTAATAATTTTCTTTCCTAATAAAATTGAAAGGAACGCACATATTTTATAATGTAATTTTGAATCAATATAATATTAATTATGATCGAATATGTAAAGTAAAATTATTGATTTTGTACTATTATTCATTCTATCACATTTCTATCTCTATATTATCTTTTATCTTGAATGTGACTTACCATCATCGATGATACCGGCGGCTTCATCACGAGCATTTTGTTCTAGAGCCTTCAAGATGGCTTCAGGAATTGGGGGAGGAGTGGGCAAGTGTGCACCCTGAGCTTGAAATCCTTCTTGGCCGCTACTGTAGGTTATGGAGTAGATCTGGCCATCATCACCAGTGTATTGGAAACCACCCTGGGCTTCGATACCATTAACCTGGAAATTACAATTTACTCTTTGGATGAAGTGGAAAAAGATAATTAAGATGATAAATAACTGAATATTATATTTAGTATTTATAATTTAATGACTTTGGATAATAAGACGGCACAAACAATGTAAAATTTATGATAGATTAAATAGATGTACGAATTATTTTGAAATAATGAAGTGTTATTTAAAGGATTTTTGGGATTATTTTATACTATACTAGCGACTCACCCTCACTTCTCTCGGGTTCATCCTAGGTACATACGTTTTAACAGTTAGTATAGAATAGATAGATTATATATTATATATGCATAGGTATGATGTAGATGTTGTTGTGTTTTCCCGTGGGAATGAGATAATCTGCCGCAATAAAAGTATAAGTCACTCTCCAGCACTCCAACTAACTCCACACAAAAAATCACGTCTATATATCACTCTGTTTCGACGTAAAAGAAGGACAAACAAACACACTTTCACATATATAATATTAGTATGGATATGGATGTATAATATTTTTTTGAAATACATTATAAGTGAAATTTCTCATAACAGTCCATCAAATCGATTTGCATAGTGTCACAAAAATCAAGACGTATCAATATGTAGTAACTCATCACCATAACCTTCTATATGTTCAAAGAAATGCTGTAACCAGTGTTGACATAAAGATGACACAAATTACAAAATTGTGTTAAATTATTCGCATATTATATTAGTTTTTACCAAATTTTATTGGCGCATATGATTTATTTAGCAAAAGCAAAATTACCATTTAATTTACATATGTACATATGTACATGATTAATATGCGTAAAGTTCATGTTAAGACAAGTTACAATTAACGCTATTAATTTACGGTTAAGACTATAAAAATATAAATCATATTAAGGATACGGATAAAATTTATGCTTTAATAAGTAGTTTACCCGTAATTTGACATTATGTTGACAGTAATGTATCCGTGTTTAATTTAAGTGAAGTCGTTTAAATATATGATGAACAAACATACTTTCTAATTTATGTTTTAGTAAATACCTTGAAAGCGACATGACATATTATGTTCAAATCGGTAAAGTTGCTCATTTGGTAACTAAAATTAGTCATAAGGTGTATGTCAAGTGGGCTATGTAGGTTCGTACATGTTTGACCTGCATTTTTATGTTGATTAATTTTAATGATTAAAGATGTCCCAAAATATTATTAATATGAAATTTTACCAAAAATACATTGGAACTAGGTAAAATTTTCAATTCCTAATTTGATTGATTATATAGTCAAGTGTTGACTCAAAAAAAGGACAGCAAAAACTCCTTTTCTAAGTCATTTATGTAAAATTTCAAATTGACCACGAACATCAATCAACCTATCAAGCTACGAAACGGTTTGATGTATGATGTAAGTTTGGGATGGTGCTACATCTAAAAATGTAAAGCTTTAGCAACGACGACCTTTTGGATGACCGATGCCCTTTCTAGTGATTGTAACATATGATATATAAATAGGTTAGGTCTAAATTATTTTTAAGGTCAAATCTATAAATTACATTTAAAATAATAAATCTGCCTTTTAAGTCCCACAGCTGGGCATGGCATCAATGTGTGGGGGAAAGGCCATATTCTACTATGCTGGCCAAGTATAGATTATAGGCAGTATAGCTATTTCTTTCGAGAACTCACTCTAAGAGCGATAAATCACGTGACCATGATATTTCATTCTCTTATTTTTGATTATTTTAGCTATAATAATTATAGAAAGTCAAGTTTGCTAAAGAGGCAGGATAGCTATCGATTTGGTTACGCATTGTATGATTCATTTCAACTACTTTAGATAATATTTGTATATAATTGCTATTACCCCGTAACTACGTTGTAATATTGTATGTCTTTCTATGGTGAAACAATTCATTAAATATGTATGTATGTATGTAAACATAAACACTCCTTAGATGTTTTGAATGTTAGGTCAAAATTAACGTAACAAATGCATTTTTTTAATAAAAATACCTATCATTAAATCGATATAATGTGATTTACGAGTCTAACACAGTTGGTATAGGTTCGATTTCCGTTCATGTTTCAAATTGACTAATACTAAACACATATCTTGGTGTAGCTATTAAAAAATGCGACATTATGACATTATGTCCCTATTATAGGATTTTTTATACTGGTGAAAAGCTAAATAGATTGAAGCCCTCTTTGTTAATTTCGCAAGTAAAAACGCGTGGAGATAATCATAAAACTTATAGATTACCTGATTATGTCTATACACACGTTATTTAATGTATACATGAATGTTTTATCTGAGCACTGTGCGTGTAATAATGTAATTAAATCGATTACTAAATTAAATGTCCATACATAAAGATCAAATCTGTTATATTTATAGCTTATATATTTATAACTATGCAAGTTGTGACATGTTTATTAAGCATTGCAACATAATATTGATAAAAAATATATAGAAGTTATTGTTTTATTGTTAATTATTATAGCTTAAAATATTGTTTTTCTGTCTATTTGAATGCTTGAATTAATGTATGAAAATACCAGGTTTTTGGGAAATTTAAAATTTATAGGTTATTTATAAAGTAATGACAAGTTATTCAGTATTATTCTATGAACCATTGAAGGGTTCTTCCCTTTAACACACACATAGAGATTTAATCGTTTAATAATCTTACCTCACGCCCTTCTTCCTGAGCTTTGATACCATTTTCGGTTTCATAACTGAATCTGTAAGAGTCATCCTTTAAATCAGAATCGTATGAGAGGATGCGAGCATTTCTTTCGTAGGCGGCTTGAGGGCGTTCGGGGTAGGACGAGAAGGCAGCTGCGGCTAAGCCGAAGAAGGCGGTGGCGATGATGAACTGAAAAATTAAAAGGGAAATGTTAACAATCTATATAATATAAATCAAATGCTGTGCTTGGGTAAGGATAATACGTGAGTAGGGCTAGAATAAATAAGATAATTTAGTTTTAAAATGATCGTTGTAGTTCGAATAAGGTATTTAGGTATAAAATGAGAATAGGTTCGTGAAATTGGCAATTTTCGAAGAAATTAAGTTAATTTTTCGAGTACTTAATAGGTACTGTCAAACATGCAGGTTTCCTCACAATGTTTTCCTTGACCGTAAGACAAGTGATAATCATGTTGAAAATGATTCGCACATGAAAATATCAGAGGTGCGAAACCCAAGATTTGAACCCACTCCACTCGATTTCCCAAGGAAGCACGTTGCCACTATTCTACCACTACCTCAGGCTATCAGGTTAGTTTTTAATATTACTTATATAAAAATTATTCCGTCTAGTAAATAAAACATCTTCGGACTTTTTCGCAGATTTATTTTGATTTTTATTTCCCGACGATTCGAATGCTTTACAGCAATCATGTTCACGGAAGAGACTACGGTTTTAGACATCTCAAAGGTCATTATTTATCACTGTCTGTAGCAAAAAAATCCGAAAAGATAGTTTTATTTATGTTATGTCAAATTTTGGCGTAAATCTAAGAATGATTTCTTCGAGTTCTTTAAAAATTTTAAAAAATATAATAATAACAATAAAGAAATATTTTGAGAATTCTTTTAAAAAAATAACTTTAAGCATGGCACTTGAAAATCGAACGTGTGACCCAACTACTGAATTGCGAATTTAATTTATTCAATCGAAACTGTACAATACATATCTAATTACCATCTCAGTCAAAATCATAGAAAAAACTTGCTACCGTTCCCACAATTTATCAAGTGTAAATTTTATCTCGGATGCAATAGTCATTGTCTATACAACCCTGAAAACTCATATTAACTTGTATTGCTGCAATGAAAATTGATCTTAATGAGCCATAATTTTAAGTAGATTTTGGAATGAATTATTAAATCTTGATAGCCACTTATTTGTTTTCTTATCAGAATAATATATTATATGAAAAAATAACAACCCTCGTTTAACTTGGCCATAAATGCTATGTTTGTTCTAATCGCAAGTTCAGCAAACTGAAACTCAAAGACTCAAATTATACCGATATCTATATTATATATATAAGACAAAATCTGGTTAGTAACACCATTTCTTACTCAAAAACGGCTGAACCGATTTCTATGATATTTGTTTTGTTAGATGTGTCTTCACCGTGACTAGCAGAATAGCATATTAAAACATCCGAAAAAATCACGAAAAAAATATTAAAAATTATATGGCTAACGCTGGCTAATAACTATTTATATATATGTAAAACGTAACTAGCAACGAACCCGAGCGAAGCGAGGGTGAGCCGCTAGTATATATATAAAAAAAATAGATTAAATTTAATGTGACTTCTATTAGAAAAATGAGCCAAAACTCGAAGGTTTTCTAGTACCCTTTTAAGTTTTCTTAGTTAAGTAGTTTTGATACTATTGAAACACATTATTAAGATTTTATATTAAATTTGAAGTAAATATTTAATATTAATTTAATATTCAGCTACAATGTTTGTCCTCGCAGATAACGAATTAAAGAATATTAATATGTTATTGTATTTCTCATATCGTTGGCTCACAATTACAAGGTTCTATGTTACAATTTTAGTACTTATTTAGTTATTAATGCTACATGGTTTTATTTGTTATTAGCTACAGTTTTGCAAAAACAAACCATTAGATAGCGGCACTATAACTACAAAATATACAATTTTACATAGTTCTGTGTTGTTGTTTTTACGATAACAAAATAACGAAGTTCTATGTCAAAATTACTAAACTTTATTAAAATTAACATAGAACCTTGTAATAGTGAGCCAACGATATGGCAAACTTGGGTACAATGGAAATTTAAATACCTTTTTTTATATGGTAAATAGAAGTATATTAATAAGTAGCTTTCCAATAACACAAGCTAAATTACTACGAACAAATAAAAAAAATGATTTAATTTAGAATAAAATGTTACGTCATTCATTTATTATACGTGTGTTTTGCCGTTAATTATATTATTAATTCTTATAAATCGCTCTAAAATCAATATAAAAAAATGTTAAATAAAATAATATAAAAATGAAATAAATTAAATTATATAAAATATGGTAATACTGTAATAAATTATTTTTTATTGATTAATTTAATAGATTTTATTAGAATAAGTTTTCAAAAAAATTGGACTTCTAATATTAGCAAAATTTATATATTATTATTGTTTTATATAATAACTAGGTATAAAACGTTATTAATATCGATCTAGCTTTTATCATCACAATAACTGAGATTGAGCCAAATTATTAGAATAAAGTTATATCAAAATATGTTAATCATTTAGTATATGTAAACCAACTTACCAGCTGCATGTTTGCAATGTGTTAGTTCAGGTCGAAGGTAAGATCTCGAATGAAGCATCTACTGCCTATTCACTTATATATACGGCGGACGATTACAAAATTCATTCAACATTATAATGTAACTTTTCCCAATAAATAAATGAACTTTAGAAACTTTTTTTGCGTAAGTTTTTTGATGTTTGAACTTAGATTTGAGGATATTTTTCCCAATTTTTTGAATATTATTATAATTTTTTATAGAGCCTTTGTATTTCAGTTTCATCTACGAGATGTCAAGGATACGTGCAGGAGTTACGATTTTTCATACAATATTTTGCTTTATTATTTTGCTCTTTTATTATTTTTTGTACTAATTCAGATTTTGCATACGTATGCTTGTAGTTTCAATTTTTTTATATAATTATACTAAATACAACCTACGTGTGTCCGTACCTTTTTAATTTATTTATTTCTAAAATGTTTTTTTTTTATTTTTTAATAAAATTAGCTTGACGGTTTTAAAGATTTTTTAACTATTATTATTCGGTAGATTTTTGACCAAAAAGACTGGAAAAGTCCTTTTCAACGCCTTGGAATTTCTCTTCGTGGCTTCCTTGTGAAGCGCCTCTAGTATAGTTTCACGCTTATACGATCAATAGTTATTTATATTGTTAACAGATTACGCTTAGGATATGATAAGCAAATTATAAACATTTCATTCATTTCGAAATGAATGTTTTTTTCTATTAACTTATTTTCATGGTAAAAAAATATTTATCGATTCAGAGTTGCGTAGATATCACATAACACAGACGCAAAAAAGTGAACATGAAAATCGAGTCTCTTTTCATTTCCATTCAATAAATAACTTTGTGAATCAACATTCTTATAGATTTACATTTTTCTTCTTATAAAAGACTTCAACGAGACTTGGTAAAAATACTAAATTTATATAAGAATATTAAACTTGTTTTGTAATTTAATAACTATAGAAATTTGTACATTATAGGTATGTTTATTCTACAGAAATACTTTTTATTATTTAAAATATTATATATAATTTTATCAGCTTCACTTTTAAAGTTGTAAACAAATCTTATAAGGCAATTTTAACCTTGTTTTAAAATTTTAATAACCAGGAGGCGAATAGTGGAAATTTTAAATGTAAATTATAACGGATTTGATTTGGGGTAAATTCATTTGTTTTGTCCCAAGCGTAATATATTTTATTGAAAAGCCAACTTTTTAGCCTTTATAAACATCATAATATACATACATATATATAAATACACACACACACATATATATATATATATATATATATATATATATATATATATATATATATATATATATATATATATATATATATATAAATATAATGTATTGGATATGATTAAATAAAATTTTACATATGGGCTTACAACTAGTTTTATATAATTAAATCATAAAGGAAATAAAATCCAAGTTAGAATCACTATTAAAAGTGAAAATGTCTTCAAAAAGGGCAACTATTTCTACTAAAGCAAAACATAGCAATAGGAATGCGTACATATTATCTTAGGCAAAAATGTTTCTTTTTATGTTTTTTTTTTTCTATTTGTGGAACTTTATAATTTACATAATATTATGATCTTATTTGTTTATCCAGAAATTAAAATATGGTATTGCTGACTGACTGATAGACAAATGCTATAATTAATTAATATGGTAGGTTCGTCACGGACTTATAATATTGTCATTTTACTAAAACAAAATGATTGTAAAAATCTATGTGAATGAAGTGTAATATTTTGATTTCATTATATTTATGATTACTTCCGGTTCTGCTCTATAGTCCCTTTATTGGGCGGAAGAGGAGGAGCCTGAGACTTTGCCGTTTTTCTTAGGCTAGTCTGAATATGTTACTACTATAGATTAGTTGGATTGTCGTACCCATAGGCGGTGTTTTCAACCAACTTCCACAAAAGAGAAGGTATTTTTGTATATTACCTACTATATTACTAACTCCGAGAAATTTTGTGTTTTTTTTAATTTCTATGTCTACATATTATATTTGCGAGGTCCCATACGTGTGATCTCATCAAGTGATGTTTTACTTAGTTCTGGACCTAAGCAATGGAACTCCTTAACAAATAGAAGAAAATTTTAATTCAAAATCTTTCAAGGTAAACAGTTAAATACGTTATTCTAATTTCTATTTATTATATTTAATATATAAACAACCAATACTCCCTGTCTACTTGCCTGGTTATTGTTTATTTGAAAGTTCTCAGGCAATATTTCACAATAAATAAAAAATATTTCATAAAGTTGTTTGTAAAAGAAAAAACAATTTAAAATAAAAATAATAAATGGTTAATTAATATTATTTTGACTTATTGATATAGCTTTTTTATTCATTCTTATATCTATATCTTCTTTATTTATTATTATAAATATTTCCCGCGGGAACCGTATATTTTTCCGAGATAAAAAGTAGCCTATGTGTTATTCCGGTCTATAACCTACCTCTGTGCCAAATATCATCCAGATGCGTTCAGCCATTCTGGCGTGAAAGAGTAACAAACATCCATACATACTCACAAACTTTCACATTTATAATATTAATACAGATTAGTTATCCCAATCGCTGAGATGTCTTGTCCCAATTCAATAAATTGATTTGAGATTTATGATTTCATACAAAAACTCTTTCAGTTTCTCCCATATTTTCAATTCTGGCCAATATTGCCATTTTTTTCCCATAAAGCCAATTTGATTGGATGGTTCTCATGTCTTATTATCTTAATTATTATCAACAGCAATTAATAATTACTAAATAAAAAAAATATTATTATTTATATAGATAAACAAGCTTCTTTCATGCTCTGCTCTTAAAGACCGGAATCCAGTGTGTCACAACACTTTTCTACCATAACACATTTTGCATAAAATCACGGTAAAAAAGATTGGTCGGTGTAAAAGATTGATAAAACAAATTTTTAATATGATAAATAACAGATACCTTAATAAATTTTTAAAAATATTTTTATCCAAGGACATATAATTACGAGTAGTATCGTCCAATAAGTGTTTAATATCATAATTTTTCGTTGAATATTTTAGTCAAGTTTCAAGTAATTTATTTTCATATAGATGCTTCAAAAATACAGCACGGAAGACCCCGACTTACGTGGAACTACAATGTTGACCCAAGGACGACCCAGGAAAGACATGTTTGGAGAAAAATGATTAAAAGAGCCGACCCCAAATAAAGATAGGGAAAGGCCAGAAGAAGAATAGATGCTTCAAAAATCTTAACAAACTTTTTTTGTATCGTTAGAAAATGCATTTACGCATACAATCTGCATATATACAGGTCACCAAACCTTGACAACCTCAAACTATCAACACTCAGATTTGCCACTGAGCTTGAAGTTAACTTAGTGTGTAGAAAAACTTCTGGAGTTAAAATAAAAAGCTATCGAGAGTGATATGATTTTTAAAATTCTATATTACTTAAAATCCTACTAATATTATAAATGCGAAAGTTTGTGATGTATGTATATATATGTATCAATGTTTGTTACTCTTTCACGCAAAAACTACTGAATAGATTTTAATTGAACTTTACAATAATATAGCTAATTATTCCGGAAAAATGTACGATTCCCGTGGGATAGGTTCGTTTTCGTTTTTCTAGACAAAAGCGAAACGAAAGTGAGTCGCTAGTAAATATATTAATTTAAATAATTATTATCAAAACGCTACACAGCATAGTTAAGTTCAAAATTAGGTTTCCCCTTTTTTGGTAGTAGGTACAACCTAAATATAATTTGAATCGCTAACATCTTTGACTGCATTTTGATTTCCACCCATGACCTTTATAGTGTACCAAAGCAATGTTAATGTATATTTAACAAATAACATTTGTGACGTATTTTACGAGTACGCCGTTCTTTTATTTAAATATAAAATAAATATTATTCAGTTATGGAATACTTACGAGGTTATTTTTTTTCTTTAGTATCATTAAAAGTTTTATATATTTATTTTATAATTGACACATTAAAAATCTGTCAATTGCTAGTCAAATTCGCATACGAGGGGTTCCGTACCATCGTATATGTACTTTTTATTAATATGACTTTTACTCTATGTATGTAGTATATTAATTTCGATGATCGATTACGAACGTTAAAAAATGTTTCTTGTATTTAATTTTTTTATTTTTATTGTTTGTTGTAATAGCGCCAATAGAAATACTCTATGAACTCTCTACCTATTACGGTTCATGAGATAAAGCCCTCTGACAGAAGGATGGACGGACGGATAGCGGAGGCTTAGTAATTGGGTTCCGTTGGCACCTTTCAGGTAGGGAACCATAAAAATCGCTAAGATTTATGTAGTGCCACTATTCGGTACTAAATACATATATTCTTAGAGTATTACATAATAATATGTATTTGTATTTTTAAATATAGAAAAAAACTATAACAAACTGGACAGACAGACAAAAAATAAAAAATAAAATTTCTTATAAGTACCGTATATACTTTCATATGCATTTAGTAAAAAGCTGTTGTTTTGAAATTACAAACAGACACTTCAATTTATTTATCTTTATAGATTACTCATTCATAACTTAAATATATAATACCTACTCGTAAACTTGATTAACTTTAAACATATTGAATTACTCAAACTAATAATAAGATACAACGGAACTATACTCTCTTATAACGTATACCTTACAATTAATACAAGGTACAAGGTTGTCGAGGCGTCTAGACAAAGCAATCGTGCGGGACTTGTCAGTTCAGACGCGGTTGAGGTGCGTCCGACTGCCATCCTTTCTTTTATATGACAGTCGGGAAGTGGCGTTAGGGTTGACGAGTATAACTAGATGTAATTGGCCATGAGATGGCACTACAGCTTTAGCTTTCAAAGCATATGCCATGAAAATTACTATTTTTTGTCAGCCTTTGCATTTAGTTGAATAGATTTTTTTTAAATCAAATCAGAGATGAGATATTTTCCAGCAGTAA